CAGCGGATTGGAAGCCCAGCCAGACTGACTTGAATGGCAATGGGACGATGCATTACACCTCGAGCGCTCGGCTGGATGTTCAAGCGCTTCGAATCATGGCAACAAAGGATTGGCAACAGGCCGCATGGTGATCTCTAGCCTTTGTATGCTGCCAGATTGATTAAGATATTATTATTATATTTTTCTTATAATTAGATCAATAAGATCATATCACAACAAAATGTTGGGCAGGCGTCGCCGCTGGATGTGTACCATGCGAAGGCGATCACGGACTTGCGAAGTCAATTGTCAATGAGATTGCAAACATTGTCGCGCTCGACAAACTCTGCGGGCAAGCCGTCTGTCTCACATAGTTCTCTTGCGGCTTGAGTGTGTAAGTCTATGCACCGTGTGTTGGTGGTAGGAGTAGAAGCCATGAAGCACATGATGTCACAGAATGAAAAGTCTGAGTCTGCCTGGGTAGTCTGATGTGTGGAGAGTACTATAGACTATAGACTATAGTCTGTATTATTCTGTTATTAGTTATTAGATTCCGTTATTCGGATTCTGAGTTAATTATCTATTTATAGTATGGTATGCTGTGTAGCTGTGTAGCTGATTGCTCTGCAAGGACTATGTGGGCGGCAGTGGAGCAAGCTAGCAGGCGTGCGGTGACGCCAGCTGGTGTGGCGAGTGAAGTGCAAGCGGCTGTTAACGCGTTGCCGTTGAATGACATCGAAGTTGCCCTGACGGGCAAGTCGGTGCTGCCACTCTTGCAAGAGGTCGCAACTCAGAAATTATCTAATCTAATTTTATCTAATCTATCTATGGGTTCAGCTTGTCGTGAATCCGTTGCTCCTACTACCTCATCCACTCTTGCTCCTCTACAACAACTGGCGACGACGACTTTACTCCTCCTCCTGCTGCTGCTGCTACTATGACTCTACATCCTATTATATTAGTAGTGCTACTCTTGCTGCTACTGCCAGTACAAGTTCCTGCGTCTGCTGCTTTCGAGCTGGTGCTGCTATGTCTTTCCGCCTTTCAAGTCGCAGGGCGTTGGCAAAACCGTGGACCGTGCCATTGGGGCATCTGAGTCTTTGAAAGCTTTGCCACAGACCGGTGATCTTGGCCATGACGTGATTGACAAGCTTAGAGAAGCTATTGGGTCGGTGGTATCCGGGCAATGATTAATCGGGGTAAGACGATATCGCGATATCATGCCGGTGCAGTGCAAAGTCAAAGATAACTAAGATAACTATGTAATTATAAATTATAAATAAATTAAATTAATTCACATGAATTTATATTAATTATAATTATAAATTATAACTATAATTTATAACTAAATTCATAACTAAATTTATAATTGTATCTTTGTAGCCTCGGAAAAAAAGCCGTAAGGCTACTAGCTCAATAAATCTAGGAGCTGTCACTTGCTGAGGAAGCATTGGTGAAGCAAGACGGCTGTGAGGCGATCCTTGCGGCTTGCTCTGGTTTGGACACGGACGGCTTTTGGACAAAACCGCTTCCGACGAAGGCGGCGGTCTTGTCCGTCGGCGACAAGATCAATGTGCTCGTAAAGTGGCTGACCACTTTCGAGGCATATGGCTTTCAATCCTGTTCACATGCATAAAAGGTATGCACACACACACATGTAAACTGGGCTAGGGTCTTCTAGATCCTAGATTTCAAGTTGTCCCTTCCCAAGGTGCTGGGCCCACAGCATCGTGTGCTTCCGAACGTGGCGGATTTGTTTGTGGACGTGTGCCATGTGCACGCACATGTCGTACAGGCGGAGAAGAAACTCGGGCCAGACACGTTGGCCACAGCCATCAAAGCACTTCACAAATTGGATACAAACTCTAAGATCACCGAGCTGCAGCACCAGCTCGCGGAGTACTCAACGAAAGGAGGGGTTAATTCTATCATATCGAGAATCTTATCTTATA